TTTTGCCATGGGGTGTTTTAAACCCTGTGTTTTGCCACCTAGGTTTTTAAACCCTGTGTTTTGCCCCCGGGTTTTTAACCGTATCTTGCCACCTAGTGTTTAACCTGCTTTTTCCCCCGGTGTTTAACCCGTGTTTTCCATCTGGGTGTTTTTAACCTGTGTCTTGCCACCTAGGTATATTAACCTGGTCTTCCCCCTAGGTGTATTAACCTGTGCTTCCCCCTGGTATTTTAAACCCTGTTCTTGCCACCTAGGTGTTTTAAACCCCGTGTCTTCCCAACTGGGTGTTTTAAACCTTGTCTTGCCACCGGGTATTTTAAAACCCGTGTCTTGCCCCTAGGTGTTTAACCCGGTCTTGCCCCTAGGTATATTAACCTGTGTTTCCCCCTAGGTGTTTAAAAACCTGTTCTTCCCCCTAGGTGTATTACCCGTGTCTTGCCCTAGGTATATTAACCTGTGTTTGCCCCCTAGGTGTTTTAAACCCCCTGTCTTCCCCACCTAGGTTATTAACCTGTGTCTTGCCCCCTGGGTGTTTTAACTGGCCTTGCCCCCTAGGTATTTTAAACCCTGTGTCTTCCCCACCTAGGTGTATTAACCTGTCTTGCCACCTGGGTATTTAACCTGTGTCTTGCCCCCTGTTATTAACCCGGTCTTGCCATAGGTTATTAACCTGTGTCTTCCCACCTGGTTTTAAACCCGTGTTTTTTGCCCCCTAGGTATATTAACCTTGCTTGCCCCCTAGGTGTATTAACCCTGTCTCCCACTAGGTATATTCCCGTGTCTTGCCCCCTGGGTGTTTTAACCTTTGGGGTCTGCCCCCCGGTAAAAAAACCTGTGTTTGCCACCTGGTGTTTTAAACCCCTGTTTTGCACCTAGGTATTTAACCTGTGTCTTGCCACCTAGGTATATTAACCCGTTCTTGCCACCAGGTGTTTTAAACCCCGTGTTTTTCCACCTGGGTGTATTAACCTGTGTCTTGCCACCTGGGTGTATTAACCCGTGTCTTGCCACCTAGGTATATTAACCTGTGTCTTGCCACCTAGGTGTATTAACCCGTGTTTGCCCCTAGGTTTTTAAACCCCGGGGTTCTTGCCCCCTAGGGTATTAACCATTTTTGCCCCCTAGGTGTATTAACCTTGTTTGCCCCCTGGGTATATTACCCGTGTCTTCCCCTAGGTAATTAACCTGTGTCTTGCCCCCCGGGTATTTAAAACCCGTGTCTTGCCACCTAGGTGTATTAACCCGTGTCTTGCCACCTAGGTGTATTAACCCGTGTCTTGCCACCTAGGTGTATTAACCCGTGTCTTGCCACCTAGGTGTATTAACCTGTGTCTTGCCACCTAGGTATTTTAAACCCGGTTCTTCCCACCTAGGTAATTTTAAACCTTGTCTTCCCACCTAGGTATTTTTCCCCCTGTCTTGCCACCGGTGTTTTAACCCGTGTCTTCCCACTAGGTGTTTTAAACCCCGTGTCTTCCCACCTAGGTTTAAACCCTGGTTTTGCCCCCTAGGTATTTTTAATGTGTCTTCCCACCTAGGTATATTAACCCGTGTCTTGCCACCTAGGTATATTAACCTGTGTCTTGCCACCTAGGTGTATTAACCCGTGTCTTGCCACCTAGGTATATTAACCTGTGTCTTGCCACCTAGGTATATTAACCCGTGTCTTGCCACCTAGGTATATTAACCCGTGTTTTGCCCCCTAGGTATATTACCCTGTCTTGCCACCTGGGTTATTAACCTTTGTTTTAAAGGGTGTTTTCCCCAACCTCCGATTTGAATATTGTAATTAACTTTTTGTAATCTATTTGGTTGGGGGGGGGGGGGATGTTGAACTCTAGCTTAGTTCCACCTCTTTTCCCTTTTGATCGCTGTACAAATGGGGTGTCATATCTTTTTTAGAACCCCAAAGCATTTTGTCTAACACCGTCTCTTCTGTCTCTCTCTGTTTTTCTCTCTCTCTCTCTCTCTCTCTCTCTCTCTCTCCTCTCTCTCTCTCTCCTCTTCTCTCTTCTCTCTCTCTCCTTCTCTCTTCTCTCTCTAACTTATAACTGTTACATGTAAATCACGTGCGCGCATGTACATACATATATTTTTTTATATAATCTTTGTTTACCCAAACCCTTTAAAGACCCAAATATTTGGGAAATTTCGTATTTTAGATGTTTGTATTTAGGTTAATATGTTCTACATTTATTTTTAAAAAATTGCTAGAGCAATTACCTTTTATTTAGGTTTGGGGTTTTGGGGTATGGGTTCCCATAATATTGCTTTGCGCCCCTAAAGGAGGAGCACCATTTTTTCAGTTCCTTTTTTCCCCCCCCATGAACATTTCTTTAACGGTTTTTGTGTGTATCGGTTCTGTACTCAGGTAAAAGGGGTAGGTGCCCGTTCCCCGGGCGGGCCAAGGGAACCCCCCTGAAACTAGTAAACTGTTTTCTTTTCTATTTGCAAAGACAACGCCTGTTTCATTTTTTTCCTGCCCAACTTTTGGCACACAAAAAAAAAATCCTAGAAAACTTACGCAAAAACTGCTGGAACGTGGGGACAGCCCTAAAACCCGGAAAATAAAAAAAAGGCACAATACCGTGACTGGGAAAACAACTAAAAACTCGCATAAGTGAGAGGACTGACGACAAAAACGGTCGACTGTCCGACTTGGACCCTTTTCAAAGCCCCGGTGTGACTTTGTAAAGGCCAAGTGGACCCAAAAAGTCGTCGCAAGCTCCTCCTCCTATGTGGGGTTTTTTGTGCATAAACCATAATCTATTTAAAAATGCTAAATACCCATAAAGCGATATGCCACGAAAAAAGGGAAATTGTCTCATTTTATTCTACACAAAAAAGTTGGTTGACAGTGGCAGTGTAGTAAAAAAAATAAAAGTCTGCAAATTATCCAAATAAACGGGGAGAGTCATCCTGGACCTTTTAAAAGGAACAGTTGGTCACGTGATTACGCTGAATTACCCAGTTTGGAAAGGAAAACAGATGAAACAAATATAAAATTGCTTCTTTTTCTAGATTTTTCTTACAAATTTTGTCAAATTGGAACCAAAACCAGTATGGTACTTGAGAAAGTGTATTTCTGCAGTAGTGGTCACCTCAGACACCCTTTTTTTATACAGTAATAAAGGAGTGAAACGGATTTTCTGATCATGTCAAGTCGTCTTAAAAGAAACATTCCCAATGAATGAGGATTTTAAAAAAGGGGGTGTGGAAAAACTGTATTATTTTCCCGAAAATTTAGTATTTATATGTTATAGTAGCCATACTTATTTAAATATTTATATCAAGAAAACGGGGTCGCGTTGCGGGGGAGACCCCCATCTTGGTTTTTAATTTAATAGAACGGGTTTAAAGGGAAGAAGTTTTCGTGCCTAGAGGTTAAAATTTGGGTTTCCCCTTCAAATAGGGGGCGAAAATTTTTGGATGTGCATTTCCCGCATAAATTGAGGGTATCAGGCGAAGGACAACAATCAGGGAACCTCAGATAAGCTGTCAATTTTTTTTTTAATTTTTGGAGAGAAAAATTTTCTAAATGTAGGCAAAAGGGGGGGGGGGGGGGGGGGTCCTGTAATGACACATTAATTCCAGGCAAATTTGGGGGTGATTTAAGTTATTTTCCCTTTTGTTAGTAATTGTGTTATTATAAACCATTTATTATTTTAATATACGTCCCAAATTTATATATTTACCCGCATTCCTGGTGTATGTATATTTCATTTAATTAATAGGTCCAGAGCAACTTGTGGATATGACAGTGGTAGGTATCGAAGGGGGACATTTTTTGCGACCTAAGTGTCCCAAATTCCTACTTGTCTAACTGATAAATAATATGTGATGAATGGTTTGAAAAACCAACAAGTTGAAGATTGAGACACTTATGCAGCATATGGAAATCTTTATTCAGGAAAACAAGTGTTGAAGAATTCTTTGTAACAAGATCCCATGATGCTGCAGTGTCTGACAGTTGTGATGAATGGTTTGAAAAACCAATGGTTTTTCAAACCATTCATCACAACTGTCAGACACTGCAGCATCATGGGATCTTGTTACAAAGAATTCCTGAATAAAGATTTCCATATGCTGCATAAGTGTCTCAATCTGATAAATAATAGTTATCATTGTTCATTTACTGTTATGTATATAATTATACATCCAAGTAAATGCAGTTTTCCACAGGAGGTAAAATTATTTTTTGTATAGTTAATATTCATTATTTTAAGCTGTTTTCCTCTATTAAATGTTCATGTAAACTACTCGATTTGCTTTACTCCTGGAGTTTGCCTGGAGAGAGTTCCGGGGGTCAACGCCCCCGCGGCCCGGTCCGTGACCAGGCCTCCTGGTGGATCAGAGCCTGATCAACCAGGCTATTACTGCTGGCTGCACGCAATCCAACGTACGAGCCACAGCCCGGCTGGTCAGGTACCGACTTTAGGTGCTTGTCCAGTGCCAGCTTGAAGACTGCCAGGGGTCTATTGGTAATCCCCCTTATGTATGCTGGGAGGTAGTTGAACAGTCTCGGGCCCCTGACACTTATTGTATTGTCTCTTAACGTGCTAGTGACACCCCTGCTTTTCATTGGGGGGATGTTGCATCGTCTGTAACTGATTTCATGCATCTGATTTATTTTATTTGTATAGTTGATTGATTTCTACGTTATCTAATAGCCAGGCTGCTAAGAGTAAGATATTACAAGTACCCTAATGGAAATAAAGTCACTTAGTCTAGATTTTCTGGAGTTATCCTAGGTAATCTACTCATATGGTACCATGTCTTGAGACAGTTGCAATCATCCAAAACTTGTTTAAATGTACTGTTTCGTAATTATACCTAAAAATATTTGTTGACAGGAAAGCAGGGTTCAATACTGCGTAAGCTGTCAGTGGCCCATATGAATCTAAAGCGGAGAAGGGCGAGGAGAAGGAGGAAGAGGAGGAGAAGGAAGAGGAGGAGGAGGAGGAGGATTATAGGGAGATCAGAGGGGGGTGAGGAGGAGGAAGACATGACAGAACTTCATGGTGGTGTACAACAAAACTAGCCTCTCAGGCGACAGCATTAGTGGAGTGCGGAGGTGTTTTCCCAAGGAGTAAGACACCTGGTTCTTCCGGTGTTCAGGCCTGGAATCCACCTTATCTAAGTCGGTAATTTAATGTTTCCTTTCTCATTCCCGTCTAGATTTAGATATTATATATATTTTCCGAACTTCCATGTGTTGGGGGGTCAATAAAGCATCACCTTTGGTGGCCCTGAATAACCCCGACAAGAAGAAAGTATAACATTCATTATTTTTTATTGGTAATTAAGTAAGTTTATTGCGCAAATGATATTGGATAACCCAAAAATGTCAAAAGTAACTTATTTCATTTGAGTCCTTGTAATATCTTATTATTAGCATCATAGATATTAGATACGGTAGAATCAGTCAGTAAGTAAGTAAGTAAGTTTATTCAGGTATACACAAATACAGTTACATAGAATTATCATATACTATAGCAGCATATGTGTAGAGAACCTAGGATAACCCAAAAAAGTCAGACACAGTGTCCTGTGGCCTGGTAGGCAACACTCTCGCCTCACACAAGGAGTATCCATGGTTCGATTCCCTGCCGGATAGAAACATTGGGCGTGTTTCCCCACACCTACTGTCCCTGTTCACCTAGCAAATAAGTAGGTACCCGAGTGTTAGTGGACTGGTGTGGGTGGCATCCTGGGGTACAAGATTAAAGGACCACAATGAAAATAAGACAGTCCTCGATGACGCATTGACTTTCCCGGGTTATCCTGGGTGGTTAACCCTCCGGGGTTAAAAATCCGAACAAACTCTGATCTCTTATCGTGACTCCCGAGTGTTGGGTTCAATAAAGCTTCAGCTTTGGTGGCCCTGAATAACCCCGGCGAGAAGAAAGTTGTCAACATTCATTAATTTTTTTAATGTAAGTTTACTGTGCCAGTTATCTCGGATGACACCAGTCAAAGTAACTTATTATTGATTGTAATCATTGGGGAAAATAGTCCTAGTAATATCTTATTATTAGCAGCGAAAATAAGGATCCTAGTAATATCTTATCAGCGAAATAAGGTCCTAGTAATATCTTATCAGCAGTCTAGCTATTAGATATAGTTTTATGTCATGATTATATCCACAAAAAAAAAGTTGTGTAACTATACTACATGAAAATCACATTACGATAAAAAGAAGTAAAAAAAAAAGTTAACTGGACTAATTTATAGGAATATTAAGTAGGAAAAATAAATATAATACACGTAATTTGGGTTTAGCGCTTTGTTTTGATTAATACGTAATAGGTACGCTAATTAATAAATTGATTAACAAATTAATTAACAAATTAGTTAACAAGTTAATAAATAAATAAATAAAATATTAACTACACAGCGCTGTATATGACCCTTGTGGGTTTAGCGCTTAGTTATGATTATTATAATAATTTTCTGCAGCTTCATTCATTAGGAACAATTTTTTTTTTACCTGCCTAAACTAGGTCATGCCAAGACTGACCTTGATATGGTCAGGCAGTTTGTTCCACTTTTTTATTGCTGTATAATAAACGATGGTTGAGGTCTGACCAACTACTTCACTTAGGTGATTAAGTTTTTTTTTTTTCGGTGGTTTGGAAACTTTCTGATAGCATTTTGTACATATATACATACTTTAGATACGTATGTCTAGTTAAGCCTTAATTCAATAAAACTTGATTTAACAGATTTTGGGTTTAATGGATAAAATCTGAGGTTATACAAAATTTGGAAGCAACTTTTCGAGTCAGTGAAATCAAGAATTATCTTATTTTTTACTGTCAAGGAAATTTATTTGATCAGAATTATCTATTATTTAATTTGGACAATTCTAGATTTAACAGGCTAAGTCCAGAATCACCCATTATTGTTGCAGTATGCTGAGTAAATTTATTTTCGGAGTTAATGGATTTAGTACGTCAAATTGTAAAATTGTCTGTTACTTTTTATTTATTTATTTATTTATTTTTTATTTGGAATAATACAGCCTCTCCTCACCTAACGATGTACTCGTTTACTGACAACTCAGACTTACTGTATATTAGAGCTGATTTCCTCTGTTCTGTTTATTACAATATACAGTACACTACTGTATAAATATTTTAAAATATACCAGAAATATTATAAATGGTGCAAAGGTGACATTAAAATAATATCATAGATGGTTGACACAAACCGACCACCACCATAGTATGCTCCTCACTTAGCGGCAAATTTATTTACCAACGTGGTCTTAGGAATGGAACTCCATCATTAAGTGAGGAGAGGCTCTATTCTCATAATTCGGCTTTAATGGGCACCTCCTCCACCTCCTCCCTATTATTCAGTGAAAACAAGGCTTCACTGCATATTTAATATCTTGTAATATACATTTCTTTAACAGATCTGGTGAGCAAGAGGAAAAACAAAACCATTGGCTCAGCAAAAATGGAGAAATTTGAACATGAAGGACATGAGCCCTCCCACTTGACCAGTCATAGGAAAGTGACAGCAGTTGTCATTGGTGCAGGTATGGTGGTAAAATACATATTAGAAAAATGATGCAGGATGCTAAATGTAACTGGTACAATTGTGCAAGTGACTGAAAGAGGTAAAAACTCTAAATTGTGCAAATATGCAAGTAAAAAATCAGAGTTATTGCTGGTGTGAGTATAGTAGTAGAGAATGCCTGAAGCTGTAGTAATTGCTTTTGTTTTTGTGAATGACAATAAGAGAAGTACTGGAGGGTCCCACTTTACAGCAATTCACTTTACAGCATTTCACTAATGCAGCGGTTTTCATTATATCCATTCTTCATTTATTCAGACTTCGTACAGTAAATATATTAAACACTCACTATAAGCTAAGGATGAAAATATTTTATGGTAAGTAATGTGTGTATTGTATATGCATTTTTTAGGCCTAGCTCTATTGCTAACTTCATATATGATAGTGTAAACATGTTATATGCATTTGAAAGTGAACAAAGGTTATGTTTCACTTTACAGCAATTTTTGCTTTACGACAGTAGCCCAGAACCTAACCTGCTCTATAAGTGGGGCTTCTATGTATTTCTGGTGTGGTACATATTTTTATAATCCTTAAAATTGAGAAGAAATACTTTCAAGAATTTCACTCTATTTATTGTAAAATGGTGAGCTGATACATCCCATTACCCACTAATTGGCGGTGTTCTCTGAATGTCAGTTCAAACGGTTCCCAGAATTTGGACATAAATTTATTTTATTAGGCATTTAATCAGTAATGTTAATACACCCGTATTAGTGAATTATGAAAATGAAAGATGTAGATTATATGAGGGGGTTAAGACTTATATGTAGTACCAAGCAGGATTTCTCATTGAGATGTGAAGCTGCAACACAGTGAGTAAAATTAACAAGTAGAATATGTGAACAAAACAGTATCATGGGGTGAGTGTAGCGTGTTTAGTTATTGAGATATATTTACTATACATAGATATTACTGTATATAGTTGAGTTTTAGTTTTGTTCCCTTGAAAAGCTGTGCATAATTCTAGACATTTTGGAATGTACATAAACAAATTGTCATCCTAAATTGTATCATATATTTGTATTTTATTTACTAATTGTAAAAAGAGAGCAAATGAGAGAGTGGGTGAGATGTTATCAACAAATTTTGTTGAAAATAAGAAAAAGTTTTGGAGTGAGATTAACAAGTTAAGGAAGCCTAGAGAACAAATGGATTTGTCAGTTAAAAATAGGAGAGGAGAGTTATTAAATGGAGAGTTAGAGGTATTGGGAAGATGGAGGGAATATTTTGAGGAATTGTTAAATGTTGACGAAGATAGGGAAGCTGTGTTTTCGTGTATAGGGCAAGGAGGAATAACATCTTGTAGGAGTGAGGAAGAGCCAGTTGTGAGTGTGGGGGAAGTTCGTGAGGCAGTAGGTAAAATGAAAGGGGTAAGGCAGCCGGGATTGATGGGATAAAGATAGAAATGTTAAAAGCAGGTGGGGATATAGTTTTGGAGTGGTTGGTGCAATTATTTAATAAATGAATGGAAGAGGGTAAGGTACCTAGGGATTGGCAGAGAGCATGCATAGTTCCTTTGTATAAAGGCAAAGGGGACGAAAGAGAGTGCAAAAATTATAGGGGGATAAGTCTGTTGAGTATACCTGGTAAAGTGTATGGTAGAGTTATTATTGAAAGAATTAAGAGTAAGACGGAGAATAGGATAGCAGATGAACAAGGAGGCTTTAGGAAAGGTAGGGGGTGTGTGGACCAGGTGTTTACAGTGAAACATATAAGTGAACAGTATTTAGATAAGGCTAAAGAGGTCTTTGTGGCATTTATGGATTTGGAAAAGGCGTATGACAGGGTGGATAGGGGGCCAATGTGGCAGATGTTGCAGGTGTATGGTGTAGGAGGTAGGTTACTGAAAGCAGTGAAGAGTTTTTACGAGGATAGTGAGGCTCAAGTTAGAGTATGTAGGAAAGAGGGAAATTATTTCCCAGTAAAAGTAGGCCTTAGACAAGGATGTGTGATGTCACCGTGGTTGTTTGATATATTTATAGATGAGGTTGTAAGAGAAGTAAATGCGAGGGTCTTGGCAAGAGGCGTGGAGTTAAAAGATAAAGAATCACACATAAAATGGGAGTTGTCACAGTTGCTCTTTGCTGATGACACAGTGCTCTTGGGAGATTCTGAAGAGAAGTTGCAGAGATTGGTGGATGAATTTGGTAGGGTGTGCAAAAGAAGAAAATTAAAAGTGAATACAGGAAAGAGTAAGGTTATGAGGATAAAAAAAGATTAGGTGATGAAAGATTGGATATCAGATTGGAGGGAGAGAGTATGGAGGAGGTGAATGTATTCAGATATTTGGGAGTGGACGTGTCAGCGGATGGGTCTATGAAAGATGAGGTGAATCATAGAATTGATGAGGGAAAAGGGTGAGTGGTGCACTTAGGAGTCTGTGGAGACAAAGAACTTTGTCCTTGGAGGCAAAGAGGGGAATGTATGAGAGTATAGCTTTACCAATGCTCTTATATGAGTGTGAAGCATGGGTGATGAATGTTGCAGTGAGGAGAAGGCTGGAGGCAGTGGAGATGTCATGTCTGAGGGCAATGTGTGGTGTGAATATAATGCAGAGAATTCGTAGTTTGGAAGTTAGGAGGAGGTGCGGGATTACCAAAACTGTTGTCCAGAGGGCTGAGGAAGGGTTGAAGATTGAGACACTTATGCAGCATATGGGAATGTACATTCTACAAGATTGATGGACTGAACACATCGACTCCAGGCTGAGGGACTGATTACCTCATACTCCTCCTCACCTTACGCCTTCCTCTTTGTATTGGACTGATGAAGCCACTGTGTGGCGAAACATTTCCTGAATAAAGATTCCCATATGCTGCATAAGTGTCTCAATCTTCAAATTGTCGGTTTTTCAAACCATTCATCACAACTGAGGAAGGGTTGTTGAGGTGGTTCGGACATATAGAGAGAATGGAGCGAAACAGAGTGACTTCAAGAGTGTATCAGTCTGTAGTGGAAGGAAGGCGGGGTAGGGGTCGGCCTAGGAAAGGTTGGAGGGAGGGGGTAAAGGAGGTTTTGTGTGCGAGGGGCTTGGACTTCCAGCAAGCATGCGTGAGCGTGTTTGATAGGAGTGAATGGAGACAAATGGTTTTTAATACTTGACGTGCTGTTGGAGCGTGAGCAAAGTAACATTTATGAAGGGGTTCAGGGAAACCGGCAGGCTGGACTTGAGTCCTGGAGATGGGAAGTACAGTGCCTGCACTCTGAAGGAGGGGTGTTAATGTTGCAGTTTAAAAACTGTAGTGTAAAGCACCCTTCTGGCAAGACAGTGATGGAGTGAATGATGGTGAAAGTTTTTCTTTTTCGGGCCACCCTGCCTTGGTGGGAATCGGCCAGTGTGATAATAATAATAATAATAATAAAATATTTACACTATATATTAGCCGAAAAAAAGCATGCATCAAATAATTTTAATACAGTACTATACATATTGTAAAAAAATTTAGAGATACATTATCTTTATTTAAATGCTAAACTTTCATATCCATGAATGTAATTTATCATAACTGATATGGATACAATAAAATTGAATTGCAGTCTAAAACTTGGTAGATTTTTTATTAATGAGACTTTATAACAGAATACTTCATTTTTTCCAGGTAACAGAGGAAAGAACTACGCAAAATATGCGGAAGATTTTCCCCACTTGTTCCAAGTAGTTGCTGTAGCCGAGCCCAAAGTGCATGCCAGAGAGTATATACAAAGAAAGCATTCCTTGCCCCTGGACCGGTATGCTGAAATCTTCAGCTGAGCTTTTAGCTTATTTGCATTATATAGTGTTTAGTTATTAAAACAGACACTAAATCAATTAACAAATTACTGTATGTATACATATGTACTCTATATTTATCTACAAAATGAGTTCATCAGCTAGAGTACCACTTTGTGGCATCAGATTGATCTAAATCTTTGTGTTCACATATCTCTTAGTAAATCCCTTATAATGCAACTCTAATAAAGAAATGTTAAGACAGGCTAAAGGCTCTTGAGAGTTGTGTCTAGCTACAACTCCAGAGAGGGTGTTAATACAAGAAAATTATGTATTATGCTCTATGTGATTTTAATCAACTCCATGATCAACCACCTTGCCATTAACCCTTTCAGGGTCCGTCCCGTAGATCTACGGCTTTACGTTCAGGGTCCAAACCGTAGATCTACGTCATGAGCTCAGCTCACTCTGATAAACTGTGAGTAGTACATTTGGGCCTAGATATGAGAGAATACATCTATGTGGTATGTGTGCACCACATAAAACAGATCCTGCAGCGCACTGTATATAATGAGAAAAAAAACTGAAATCATGATTTTTCGATTAAAACAGCGACTTTGCAGTGTTTTCTCGTATGTTTTTTATAGCTGTATTTGCGATTTCTTGGTCTCATTTGATAGAATGGAAGACATATTACAGAAATAGAGATGATTTTGATTGGTTTTAGCACTGGAAATGGCTTGAAACTGAGCTCAAAGTAGCAGAAATGTTAAATTTTTGACGATATCCAAGAGTAAACAAACGACCTCACATGTCTAATACACGCCAGCTGGTGGGTCTGATATGCATTCACAAATGTGGTGATGATATTTATACAATTATTACAATATTGCATAACAGTAAATCTTCTATTTTTTGGTGTGAATAAAAATTCATTATGTGAATAAAAAATCAAAATGGAATTTATTTGTAAAGCCTCAAAACATAACTAATGAACAGAGGAAATGTTAGTTTAGTTCCAGGAATACCTACATTGTTTATTCTGGACCCTATTTTGAAATTGGAATATTTTGAACTTTGTGTTAAATTGGCCAAATTAACAATTTCCGATCACTTTAATTTGTAGTTGAAACAGTTGACTTGCTGATTTCTTGTGCTCAATCGATAGAATAGAAGTAATACTAGTGAAATAGCTAAGAATTTGGTTGACTGGAATAATGTAATTGGCCTAAAATGGGAGTCAAAGTCGGCAAAATCGCCGATTCGTAAATATCGTTGACACATCAAAATTCACGAGAACATAATTTCGTCAATTTTCCATCAAATTTCGTACTTTTTGTTTTATTACCTTCACAAAAAGATTCTCTACCATTTCATAAGAAAAATAACAAATTTTTTTTTTTAAATTCTTGGACACTGGGGCACCACTTCAGATTTGGGCCTTGGACCCTGAAGGGGTTAATACATACAATACATAATTCATTGACCCTTATAGTTAATGTAAAAATGAGTTTAGTATTCCAAATGTCTGTGCTAGGATAATGAAACTTAACACTCAACATTTATTTATTTATTTAGAAATTTTAGCATACATACAGAGGTACAAAAAAAATACAGGTAAGAGCAGCATGCCAAAGCCACTTATATGCATAGCATTATGGGCTGGCTTAAAATTAACTTAAGATTAACTAAGTAGGTAGTAGGTTGGTAGACAGCAACCACCCAGGGAAGTACTACCGTCCTGCCAGATGACTGTGAAACAAAAACCTGTAACTGTTTTGCATGATGGTAGGATTGCTGGTTTCTTTTTCTGTCTCATAAACACGCTAAGATAACAGGGATATCTTGCTACTCCTACTTACACTTTGGTCACACTTCACAGACACGCACATGCATATATATATATACATACATCTAGGTTTTTTCTCCTTTTTCTAAATAGCTCTTGTTCTTTTTTATTTCTTCTATTGTCCATGGGGAAGTGGAAAAGAATCTTTCCTCCGTAAGCCATGCGTGTCGTATGAGGCGACTAAAATGCCGGGAGCAATGGGCTAGTAACCCCTTCTCCTGTATACAATTACTAAAAAAGAGAAGAAGAAAAACTTTATAAAACTGGGTTGCTTAAATGTGCGTGGATGTAGTGCGGATGACAAGAAACAGATGATTGCTGATGTTATGAATGAAAAGAAGTTGGATGTCCTGGCCCTAAGCGAAACAAAGCTGAAGGGGGTAGGAGAGTTTCAGTGGGGGGAAATAAATGGGATTAAATCTGGAGTATCTGAGAGAGTTAGAGCAAAGGAAGGGGTAGCAGTAATGTTAAATGATCAGTTATGGAAGGAGAAAAGAGAATATGAATGTGTAAATTCAAGAATTATGTGGATTAAAGTAAAGGTTGGATGCGAGAAGTGGGTCATAATAAGCGTGTATGCACCTGGAGAAGAGAGGAATGGAGAGGAGAGAGAGAGATTTTGGGAGATGTTAAGTGAATGTATAGGAGCCTTTGAACCAAGTGAGAGAGTAATTGTGGTAGGGGACTTGAATGCTAAAGTAGGAGAAACTTTTAGAGAGGGTGTGGTAGGTAAGTTTTGGGGTGCCAGGTGTAAATGATAATGGGAGCCCTTTGATTGAACTTTGTATAGAAAGGGGTTTAGTTATAGGTAATACATATTTTAAGAAAAAGAGGATAAATAAGTATACACGATATGATGTAGGGCGAAATGACAGTAGTTTGTTGGATATGTATTGGTAGGTAAAAGACTGTTGAGTAGACTTCAGGATGTACATGTTTATAGAGGGGCCACAGATATATCAGATCACTTTCTAGTTGTAGCTACACTGAGAGTAAAAGGTAGATGGGATACAAGGAGAATAGAAGCATCAGGGAAGAGAGAGGTGAAGGTTTATAAACTAAAAGAGGAGGCAGTTAGGGTAAGATATAAACAGCTATTGGAGGATAGATGGGCTAATGAGAGCATAGGCAATGGGGTCGAAGAGGTATGGGGTAAGTTTAAAAATGTAGTGTTAGAGTGTTCAGCAGAAGTTTGTGGTTACAGGAAAGTGGGTGCAGGAGGGAAGAGGAGCGATTGGTGGAATGATGATGTAAAGAGAGTAGTAAGGGAGAAAAAGTTAGCATATGAGAAGTTTTTACAAAGTAGAAGTGATGCAAAGTTTTGGAGTGAGATTAACAAGTTAAGAAAGCCTAGAGAACAAATGGATTTGTCAGTTAAAAATAGGAGAGGAGAGTTATTAAATGGAGAGTTAGAGGTATTGGGAAGATGGAAGGAATATTTTGAGGAATTGTTAAATGTTGATGAAGATAGGGAAGCTGTGATTTCGTGTATAGGGCAAGGAGGAATAACATCTTGTAGGAGTGAGGAAGAGCCAGTTGTGAGTGTGGGGGAAGTTCGTGAGGCAGTAGGTAAAATGAAAGGGGGTAAGGCAGCCGGGATTGATGGGATAAAGATAGAAATGTTAAAAGCAGGTGGGGATATAGTTTTGGAGTGGTTGGTGCAATTATTTAATAAATGTATGGAAGAGGGTAAGGTACCTAGGGATTGGCAGAGAGCATGCATAGTTCCTTTGTATAAAGGCAAAGGGGATAAAAGAGAGTGCAAAAATTATAGGGGGATAAGTCTGTTGAGTGTACCTGGTAAAGTGTATGGTAGAGTTATAATTGAAAGAATTAAGAGTAAGACGGAGAATAGGATAGCAGATGAACAAGGAGGCTTTAGGAAAGGTAGGGGGTGTGTGGACCAGGTGTTTACAGTGAAACATATAAGTGAACAGTATTTAGATAAGGCTAAAGAGGTCTTTGTGGCATTTATGGATTTGGAAAAGGCGTATGACAGGGTGGATAGGGGGGCAATGTGGCAGATGTTGCAAGTGTATGGTGTAGGAGGTAGGTTACTGAAAGCAGTGAAGAGTTTTTACGAGGATAGTGAGGCTCAAGTTAGAGTATGTAGGAAAGAGGGAAATTTTTTCCCAGTAAAAGTAGGCCTTAGACAAGGATGTGTGATGTCACCGTGGTTGTTTAATATATTTATAGATGGGGTTGTAAGAGAAGTAAATGCGAGGGTCTTGGCAAGAGGCGTGGAGTTAAAAGATAAAGAATCACACACAAAGTGGGAGTTGTCACAGCTGCTCTTTGCTGATGACACTGTGCTCTTGGAGATTCTGAAGAGAAGTTGCAGAGATTGGTGGATGAATTTGGTAGGGTGTGCAAAAGAAGAAAATTAAAGGTGAATACAGGAAAGAGTAAGGTTATGAGGATAACAAAAAGATTAGGTGATGAAAGATTGAATATCAGATTGGAGGGAGAGAGTATGGAGGAGGTGAACGTATTCAGATATTTGGGAGTGGACGTGTCAGCGGATGGGTCTATGAAAGATGAGGTGAATCATAGAATTGATGAGGGAAAAAGAGTGAGTGGTGCACTTAGGAGTCTGTGGAGACAAAGAACTTTGTCCTTGGAGGCAAAGAGGGGAATGTATGAGAGTATAGTTTTACCAACGCTCTTATATGGGTGTGAAGCGTGGGTGATGAATGTTGCAGCGAGGAGAAGGCTGGAGGCAGTGGAGATGTCATGTCTGAGGGCAATGTGTGGTGTGAATATAATGCAGAGAATTCGTAGTTTGGAAGTTAGGAGGAGGTGCGGGATTACCAAAACTGTTGTCCAGAGGGCCGAGGAAGGGTTGTTGAGGTGGTTCGGACATGTAGAGAGAATGGAGCGAAACAGAATGACTTCAAGAGTGTATCAGTCTGTAGTGGAAGGAAGGCGGGGTAGGGGTCGGCCTAGGAAGGGTTGGAGGGAGGGGGTAAAGGAGGTTTTGTGTGCGAGGGGCTTGGACTTCCAGCAGGCATGCGTGAGCGTGTTTGATAGGAGTGAATGGAGACAAATGGTTTTTAATACTTGACGTGCTGTTGGAGTGTGAGCAAAGTAACATTTATGAAGGGATTCAGGGAAACCGGCAGGCTGGACTTGAGTCCTGGAGATGGGAAGTACAGTGCCTGCACTCTGAAGGAGGGGTGTTAATGTTGCAGTTTAAAAACTGTAGTGTAAAGCACCCTTCTGGCAAGACAGTGATGGAGTGAATGATGGTGAAAGTTTTTCTTTTTCGGGCCACCCTGCCTTGGTGGGAATCGGCCGGTGTGATAATAAATAAAAAAATTAACTAAGCAATGATGAAATCAGTGATAAAACATTATTGTAAACAGATAACTATAAAGCACAAATGAGTATTACAAAGACAGGTCATATGGTTGCATGCATTGCTGTTCATTCAGTAGAATGGAGTATTCTGTTAGGTAGTGTATTTAAAAAAATAACAAAGTTAGATTGGGTCCTAGGTTTAACATTTATGTGATATAATTTTAAGGTTCATTTATTCAGTATTTATTTGGTTTTGAGTGAGTGAACTTTGAGAAGAGACTTGAATTTATAAACAGGTAGTGTTTCTTTTATATTTACAGGTAATGAGTTCCAGATTTTAGGGCCTTTTATGTGCATTGAGTTTTTGCATAGCGTGAGATGGACACGAGGAACATCAAAGAGTGATCTGTGCCTTGTGTTATGGTCAGTGTTCTGTTGAGGTTGGCAAGGAGATGTTTGAGGGGAGGGTTAATATCAGAGTTAAGTGTTCTATGTATGTAATAGGTGCAATAATAAGTATGGATGTTTTGTATGGTGAGTAGGTTGAGTGTTTTGAATATTGGTGGAGTGTGCTGCCTGTAGTGAGAATTTGTTATCATTCTAACTGCAGCCTTTTGTTGGGTAATTAGTGGTCTGAGATGGTTAATTGTTGTTGAGCCCCATGCACAAATTCCATAGGTGAGATAGGGGTAAATAAGAGAGTGATAAAGGGCCAGGAGGGCTGACTGTGGAACATAGTACCGTATCTTCGATAGTATGCCTACAGTCTTGGAAATTTTCTTAGAAATTTGTTGTATATGTGTGAAATTTGAGTCTATTATTGAGGTGGATTCCTAAGAATTTTCCCTCTGTTAGCCTTGTGATAGGTGATCCGTTTATTGTTATGTTAAGAGGTACATCTGTAGCTCTGTTACCAAACTGAATGAAGTAGGTTTTGTCAATATTTAGTGTAAGTTTGTTAGTCCTCATCCAGGTAGATATTTTCTGTAATTCGGTGTTTACAGTATTGGCTAGTGTGACTGGGCTCGGGTGAGAGAAGACGTATGTAGTGTCATCTCCATTACTCCATATTACAATGTTGAATTCTGAAACAAATATTGTAACCAAAAATCTTACCATCTAAAAGTTGGCAAACACACTGGAGTGAATAACAAAAACTTAATAATAATAATAATCTTTATTTCTACAAGTACGTGGTCTGAGATTAAATTTTACAGCTTCGCCAATGGAAGATGTATTTTGTGGACTTGCCTGTTCTTTTATACTAGTTGATGAAAGATATTAAAAATAAAATTTAAGAGTTATTAATAAACAGCTTACAGTATTTCTTGTCATTTTTAGTGTTGTAGACTGTACTGATGTTTTCCATGACTTGTAGATGTTTTGATGACTGGGAACTTCTGGCTGAGGAACCCAAACTAGCAGATTGTGCAATTATTGCTACACAAGATCAGCAACATCTTCAACCCACCATTGCACTTGCCAGGAAGGGGTGAGTAACTCATATTGTAGGAAAGTCTATACCTGGCCTTCACCCAGGAGGCCCAGGTTCAATTCCCAGCATGGGTATTAATTTTTGAGGCCTGGTCACAGACCGGGCTGTGGGGGGCATTGACCCCTAAAACCTTCTCCAGGTATCTCCAGGTATACCTACCAGCATTTGTTAATCTTGCTGATTAATAGGTTTAGGGATTTTAATAAGGGGTATAGTATGTTGCCTATTGGTAGAGTTTGTGATTTCTCAGAGCTGCCTTTTGTTGAGTTATAATTGCTTGGAGGTGTGTAACTGAAGTGGATCCCCAAGCATGGATTCTATAAGTGAGGTATGGGTAGATGAGGGAAAAGTAAAGTGTTAGGGGTGTGGGTTGCGGAACATAATAGTGAATTTTGGAGAGTATCCCTACTTCGAGGCCTGGTTACAGACCAGGCCTCAGGGGCGTTGACCCCCAAAACCCTCTCCAGGTATACTGTCTCAGAAGCTTTTGTTGATGTGTGTTGGTGACGAGTATTAACCCTTTGACTGTCGCGGTCGTATATATACGTTTTACGAGGTGCCGTGTTTGACGTATATATACTCATAAATTCTAGCGGCTTCAAATCAAGCAGGAGAAAGCTGGTAGGCCCACATGTGAGAGAATGGTCTGTATGGTCAGTGTGCACTGTATAAAAAAAATCCTGGAGCACGCAGTGCATAATGAGAAAAAAAAACTCAGACCGTTTTTTTTTAATTAAAATGCCGACTTTGTGGTCTATTTTCGTATAGTATTTATGGTTGTATTCTCGTTTTCTTGGTCTCATTTGATAGAATGGAAAACATATTACAGAAATAGAGGTGATTTTGATTGATTTTACTATAAAAAGAACCTAGAAATGGAGCTCAAAGTAGGGGAAATGTTTGATTTTTGCCAATGTTCAAAAGTAAACAAATGATGCCATTGTCCAATAAATGTCCAACTAGCCATTCTAATATGCAGTCATGAATGGGTTGATGTTATTTATACAGTTATTACAGCATTGCAGTAGTCTGCATAATAGTAAGTCTAATATTTTTTGTTTGAATAAAAATTCAAAATAGAAAGCAAGAGTAATATCAGAAGGGCCTGGAGACGTGACTGATGAACAAAGAAAACGTTATTTTAGAGCCAGGAATGTCTGCATTGTTCATTCTGGACCTTATTTTGAAATTGTCATATTTTTTAGTTTTCGTGAAATTGGCCAAATTGCAAATTTCTGACCACATTATTAGGTAGTTGAAATCAGTAAATGGGCAGTTTCTTGTATTCAGTCGATAGAAAAAATGAAGTTCTAAAGAAATAGCTATGAGTTTGGGCGACTGGAACAATGGAATTAGCCGAAAATAGGGCTCAAAGTGGGCGAAATCGCCGATTTGTAAACAGCGCCGAGGTCGCTAACTTCGCGAGAGCATAATTCCGTCAGTTTTCCATCAAATTTCGTTTTTTTGGTGTCATTACAATCGGGAGAAGATTCTCTATCATTTCATAAGAAAAAATATTTTTTTTTTTTTTTTTAAATTTTGCGACACCAGGAGACACCTCAGGATTGGGGGTTGCGACAGTCAAAGGGTTAAATTTGAGTTTGTTGTCTACTATTTGACTTATGAATTTTTCCTCTTTTTTTTTTTATGCTATTTTGAGTATGATATGCATGCACAGATATGTTTAAAATAAGATATTGTTCAGAATATAATGAATAGTATTGTTTCACTTGTGTTTTCTGTAATACGACTTCAGGTACCACATTCTGTTGGAAAAGCCAATGGCAGTGACAGAGGAGGACTGCCGTTCTATTTATGAAGTGTGCCGAGAGGCTGGTGTCATATTGGCTATTTGTCATGTACTTAGGTATGTAGCCTTTTTTAATAATACCAGTTAATTATCACCAGCTGATGTTACACTATTTAACATTTAACTGATATATGACCATGAATACATTGTAGCAGGAGTTTTACTAAGTGAATAAGAAAGACATTAAAAAATCATAATATAGGTTAGTAACTCTATCTGGGAAAATCAAGAGAGTAATATTGATGAATTA